CCGCACATGCTGCTGGCTGCAGTTGGTGCTCCGGTCGTGAGATCGCTGTGTCAGTGCACGCATTGTTTCTGTGATTGCGAGTGCCGCCGCTGTGGTTTGCATGGGACAGACATTGCTGGCATGGGTGTTTTCGTTCCTTTGATCTGGATGCCACGATGAAAGTGCTGATGATGATGACTATATTTGTGGTGCCGCAGTTAACGAGGAACAATGACAGTAATTTACCATTGGCAACAATGGAAGCATTTATACCAATAACAACATAAGTCCTAAACCCGACCAGCCTCCTCCCACTGGAGCCTTGAGGCCAGGTCGGACAGCAGCTGATAGGCCTTGTCCAGCATGTAGTGCTGAGCGGCGCGGGAATTACGAATGTTGCATTCGTGTAGTATTTGGAAGTTTAGAGTTTAGCCTTCCGGATCAGGGATTAGGGCCTTGGGGCTTAGCGGGTATCTATTGGTCTGGGAATACGTAGGCGTGATGTGGCAAATCGGGCTTGCCCGTCGTGGGAGCGATTTATGAATTCAGGAGAGAGCAGGCTTGTATAGCGGCCTGAGTCATTGGAAAAGGGTCTGTCGGCTATACTCATTATTATACTCATTATCAAGAACCTGCAATTCGTATTCTTCTTCTGTGGGACTATGGAGCCTCTAGGCCAATTTGTATTGGTAACGATTTACAAAACACAGGTCGTTGTATGTGGGACAACACTCCGGAAGTCTTCTCTGCGAGTTTAGGGTTCTGGGGCTTCGGCTCATGTATAGGATATTATATAATATACCTATATCTTATACATACCAATATCTTATCCTATATAGTTTATGTAATTTTTGGAATAGAGCTTCTTGGGGCTTGGCGACTCGAGGCTTGCATGTCAGGGTTCAGGGACAAGGGTTCCGCATCTGGCGCTAGGGCTTAGGTTCTTAGAGACTTCCCGGAAGTGTTTTGTTGATGCCGCTGTTTACCAAACAGTCAACTGGCATGCAATGCCGAAATCTTCTGAAGCGCCAAGACGCGACAAATGCGAACCAAATGAATCTCAACTAACTCTACACCCTGAACCCTACAAAGCACAGCAAACTTACAAGCCCCTTTCAAAGCAAGGACCCAAACTGCGACGTCCCAAGCGGTCGGATCCTCATTGCAATGACCCCGAAGTCAGGTACTGTTTTAAGGGCTGCGGCCTGCGCCAAAGACTTCTCAACTCGCTGCACTAAGCGCTCTAATCTCTTGTGCCTCGGGCAATGCATAAACACTTAGGGTGTAGGGTTTAGGGTTTAGAGTTTTGGATGCAATGTCCATGGGGGTTCTATAAGGTTAATGCCCTTTTTTTTCTCTGGTAGCTTGGGCCGCTTCAAGGTTTGTTTTAAGTGGCAGGCGTGGGACTTGTGAGTATGAGCTAGTATTGAAGCCTCAAAACACTATTCCTTACAGAGGTCCAAATCTGTGCAACTTCAAGCGCCGAAGGAACTGATTCAGAACAAGCTTGCCCGACAGGATACGAAGAATACTTGTGAATGTTCTCATGATTGCTAAGTCTTGATATTGTTATGAATATTGTGATTCTAAAAAAAGTAAATGTTTTCGGGCTTGGAACTGCTGCGACCTGCTGTTGTGGGGGTTTGAAGATGTTGTTCTTCTGGGGGATGTTGTAGCGACTACACGTGGTGCGCCAGGGTAGCGCCGGGTATGCCCAAGTACCGGCCACAATGCAGGGTTTTATCTATGAGTATAGAAGAGACAAGTAGACGAGCAAAGTATCAGCCAGAAAGCGACAACGGCATTATCCTCAGGCTCTCGAGTCAGGCAAAACGCATCAGCACTACTCATCCTTCGCACATGCTCCAACTCTTCTCGTGTGCAAAGGAAACGTTGGACTAGTCATTGAACCTTCCGAGCAAGCTTCGAGGCTTTCCTCAAGTGCTGGGATGCCAGATGTTTAGATTGAGGGCTCAGTGGTGTGAAAAAGGCTGGGATTTAATACAGGGGCCTTAATAGCTAGACTAGGGTGTTGGGGTATATTACCCCCCCCCCCCCCCACAATAGTATAGATGACTGTCAAGGCCCCTATATTAGGATCGACTCTCAGGGCTTGTGGCGGAGGAGCTTCAGCAGTCGGATTCGATGCGACGTACCACATTCCTATCGACCCCAAGACACCGAAAGCCTAAACTCCAAAAAAAACGCCTCCGAAACGCGAAGGAGCCACTGAAGAGCTTTGGACCCCTGAGCACCTGACAGCTCTTTGTCCGGGGCGTCGAAACCTTTCTCCTGCAGGCACTTCTCCGTCCTCAGCTGTAGGTGTCTGGGGTTGCGGGTCTTTGGTGTAGGGATTAGGGTTTAGGGTTGAAGGTTTAAGGTCTCGGTGTCCGAGGTGCTTTTTGGCTTCTCGGCTTCCTTGTGGGGCCATTTTGGGGTTCGGATTTAATGGCGTTCGGGATAGCGGTCCAACAACCCAAAACGGAAAACCCTGAATTCCCCAACCCGAGGCCTTGAGAAAGAAAAGACTACCAACAAATACAAAGGTGTATCCGTGTGCGGACGCGCGATTGTCAATTCCCAAAACCGAAACCCCAAAGCCCAAACAACCCTCAGCCCTAAACCCTTCACCCTCGAACCCTGAACCCTAAAGCCTGAACCCTCTACCCCAAAGCCTAAACCCCAAACAACCCTAAACCTTAGAAGGGGGCCCCCAACCTGTAATAGTGGTATAATAGGAATATAATAGGGCCCTAATATAGTCCTTATAGTCACTATTGCAGGGTTCTAACCTAAACCCTTCAACCTGGAATCCTAAACCCCGAATGCGCTGAGCAAGAGCAGACCCCCGGGCCGCCGGCTCCTCGATGCGGTGCTCCAGGAGGCTTTCCTGCCACACTTGCTCTTAGTAGTACTATCACGGTTTAGGGTTTAGGGTTTAGGGTGCCACACGTGCGATTAGTACTGTTGATGATATAAATCCTGCATTACCTTAAGGACCCCAAACTATGGGAATTATGGTATATTCCTCATAATGGGTAATGCAGGATCTCTATCATCAACCGTAGTACTATCATTATGAATACTATTGCTCATATCATTACTACTACTAGTAATCTTACAGCATTGCTATTGCTTTACTATGCTGTGACAATTACTTTTGTTGTCATTCTGATATGTATATATATATATATGTATATATATATATATATATACACGTGTATATATACACATATATATATATATATATGTTTCCCCCCTCAAAAATCCAGGCGTTTTGGCTTTATTCGGAAGGACCCCCCCCCAATATGAATCGCAATTTGGTCTTAATTGGAAGGAACGCCCTCAAACATGATTCGCGCGTTTAGGCCTTATTCGGAAAGAACCCCCTCAAATATGACTCCATTAATCCGAAACAACCCTTCCATTCCACAGCATTGCCGGACTACCATTCCACGGCATTGCGGATTACCCTTGGTACCCACATCACTTACAATATCATGTATATGCAGTATGTGTAAAGCCTTATGTATGTCTATATGCATATGGTACACGGGTGATGGACATAAAGCGTAAACTTTCCGAGGGATGAATATACGAATACAAACGAGCACGCCTGCACTTGTGAAACAAAAAACAACGACACTTGTGGTGTCTTGACATCGGTTGACCGGGGACATGGACACAAAGGAAGGCACAATGATCGTGACGGAGATGACGATGTCGACGAACACGATGATTATGACGGTGCTGAGGACGAAGATGTCGATGACGATGTCGATCATGAGAATAACGATGAGTTTTGAGGTTGCGTACCACAGTTTCATGTCATTGTGGCAGGTGGATGAAGTCCGGTGATTCCCTGGGACTCCATGCGTGAGGACTTGGTCTCGATATGTTGCTCTCCTCACCATGAGTGCGTGAGGTTTGGGAACCGATGAGGTTGTTGGCTCACCCTCACCCGATGCGTGAGGGTTTGGTATCGATGGTTCGATATACGTGCTCACTTCCCGAGCGTATTGATGTAGATGTGGTTTGCCCTGTCAAACTTGATAGTGGTACGCAACACCAACACCCAGAAACACCCAGAGCAACCCTTGCAGGCAAACTCGGAACGACTGTTTTCTGGCCAGAGATACGCGACGAGTTGTCTGTGCAGGGGAAATGGCTCTATATGTACATGGCTAACCACGACATTGTGCTCATAGCCGATACTGCGACACCTAGTGCACTTAGAGCACGGCTGCACTCTCCTCGTGACTCTCAACCACTTCCCTTGCAGGCACGCTTGTCCGAACTGCTCTTCTTCACGGATGCTTTGCAATCGGTCTGCATAGACGGGAAATAGCTCAATGGCTCTAGCAACCCTTGCAGGCAAACTCGGAACGACTGTTTTCTGGCCAGAGGTACGCGACGAGTTGTCTGTGCAGGGGAAATGGCTCTATATGTACATGGCTAACCATGACATCGTGCTCATAGCCGATATTGCGACACCTAGTGCACTTAGAGCACGACTGCACTCTCCTCGTGACTCTCAACCACTTCCCTTGCAGGCACGCTTGTCCGAACTGTTTTTCTTCATCCGCCCTGCAATCGGTCTGCACAGACGGGAAATAGCTTAATGGCTCTTGAATCAGAAGCAAAGACAAAGCAAAGCCTCGGCAGATCTGTTTACACTCCACATACCAACACAGTATGTACTTCGACCTTAAAGTTTTAAAGTGTCAAGACAGGGAATGTTCTAAGGCCAAAGTATACGCCATGCGGACACTTGGAGCTTTAGGCGTTGTTGTCATGCACCATTGGAAATGCTGTTTTTTGGCGGCAGCAGTCAGCATGCGTCTCGAGCATTGTGGCTCTGAAGAAGCCGTCAGGTCTTGATCAAATTCGCGACTTAGCCATCTAGCATCGGCTTCGACAAACACGGGGCTACGCGGCATAGGTCGGTGGATGGTCTCACGAATCTCACTGCTGGACCTACTGGAGGATCTTCGCCCTTCGCCATGTACCATGTCAGCAGATCACCCGTGCACGTCCAGAGGTCCTGGCCACGGTGCCAGCAGTCGTACTGAGCGGATCTGATGCATGCCTGCATGTATGCTGAGCCCGTCTGGACATGTTGGTTCAACCTCAAACGGCTCCTGATGAACTTCCAAGAGCGGTCGACGATCTGCGTGCCAACCTTGACAGTCAGCTTTCGTCCGGTAGGAAGGGTGATTTTCTTGAGCTTGACGTACGTCGGCTGCTGCCACGTCCACACACCACCGAACCTTGATGCGCTTCTTCTGGTGGATGACTGACCCATGGTGTACTCCACGAACCTTTTGCTTGTACGCTTTCGCACTGTCTGTGTGTAGAATGATTTGCTTGTCCTTCAGCCACTTGTCTGCGATGGTGCGCCATTCATCCTTCCGAATAGGGCCCGGCCCCGGCGATCTCTTCTTGGTTAGCCTTAGATTCGATTACGCGTGAAGAAGCTCATTACAGTTGGTAACGTCAGAACTAAACCAAGAAGCTTCGAAGAGAGACGAAGAAGAACGAGTGAGGTCGGCTTGCCTCGCTGCACCATTCCGACCCACTGCTCCCACTTCATGTTCCGTTCTGGTCCTTCAATCTCATCCATGGGAACAAGCTTCTTGTCGAAAGAGGTTTCGTCCACTTCCACATCCTGCCAAGCGTTCTTCCTACCACCAAAGACCATGCCGGCTTGGACATGCTCCACAAAAGCTTTGCGAACAAATGCCAAGCTCTTGCGCAGACGCTCCACGACTTTGTGGTTGACTTGGGTCACGAGGTGGATACTACTGAGTTTACTACTGGATGGTGCGCCAGCAAGAAGTAGTAGCAGCAGACCCGCCTGGAGGCCAAGCGTCCGTCCTTCTGGCCCCCGGGTTGCTGAGAAGAAAGGATGCAAGTGCTGCGGCGTGATAAACTTGTGGCAATTCCGCCGTCGGCAACGATAGCGTGGAAGCCCCGAGTCTCTATCCTGCACTGGGCCCACAATACCCTGTGTGCAGAATGGACAGCTGGCTCCTTCCCAAGTCGGCAAGAGGCCGTCCCGCATGAGAAGCTCGACGGCGTCTTTCTCCGTCAAGCCTGCCAGGGCTTGTAAGGTCCGCTTCCATTTAAGCCGGTCAACTCGAGGGGCTTTGTGGCCGTTCCGAAGATAGGGAGTCGACGCCCATGCCTTCCCGTTGGTCAACTTCGACGCTGGCTTCTTCGTCAGCGTCTGCTTTAGAGCCATGTGCATCTTGCTTTTTTGGCGCATGGAAAATTGCGCACAAGCTTCTTCTCCAACGTCTTGGCCATGGCACGTCCGTTGGTGACATGGTCGTTCCGGGCAGCTAGCGCGCGCAGCTACTGTTTCAAGCCTTTAGGTACATCTTGGTTACAAGTCAAAGCAGTCAAAGCAACATGAAGCTGCAACATGTCTGCAGAAGGCACTGGCCATTTTGGCGACGACGGTGTGTCGTTGCACGGTGCACAGGCGCTACCAGTGTCAGTGACGGCAAGACCGAGGATAAAGCAAAACTATCGGTCCTGAACTGCTGCAGAGCAGGCAATCCCTACTCGTGCAAAAAGCGCGCCGCCTCCTCATCGGGAACGGTGTCCCCGTCAACAACGTCCATCTCATCGCCGATCGAGTTAGCCTCAGTCTCCTCAGGCTGCTGCTCCGGCTCAGGCACAGGTGCCGCCGGCACATTCGCCGGCAAGTCGGCGAGGCGAATGTAAAGTAGTCTGTATATGTCTCCCATTCGCATCTTGCGCATTCTGCTGAAACGAATTTTCATATACGACTTTCCACTCAGGTATGTGAGGCGGAGCCTCATATGTAGGGTTCAAGGTTTAAGGGTTTAGAGTTTAGGGTGTATGTACGGGCGGTATAGTGATTAGGGGGCGGGGGGGGGGAACAGAAAGAAAGCGTGGATCTTGGGGGGGGGGGGGGGGGGTACCATATATATATATATATATATATATATATACATATATATATATATATACATATATATATATACATATATATATATATATATGTGTGTGTTCTCATTACTGCGATTATTAGTATCATCGTCATCATTATGTTTATGTCGATTCTTGATTTTGTTATTGTTGTTGCTATTGTTGCTGTTATTACATATGTGATCGATAATACTGTTGTTGTCATTGCTGTTATCAAAATTAGTAGTATTATCTGCATTACTACTATTGTTACTTATTGGTAATATTACTATCACTACAACTACTATGCCGGAGTAAAGAGTTTCAAGTTTTGAGGCTGCAGCAAGCTTTTACCGGCCTTCAAGGGGTTGATATGGTGATTTAGGTTTACGGGTTCAGCGGCTTACACGCTTTAGGGTCTAGTGTGGCTTTAGGATGGAAAGTCTAAAAGTTCAGGCTAAAGAGTAAGGCTTCAGGGTATGTTTCAGGTTTTTGGGTTGCAGTGGGTTTCTAGCGGGAAACCTTCGCAGGGATTAGGCGGCGAGCTTTTAGGATCAAAGGCCTAGGGTCTAGAGTCTAGAATTTACAGTTAAGAGTTAAGGGATGAGAATTTAAGCTCAAGGGTGTAGGACGCAAGACCTCAACGCTTTAGGAGCTCTCTTTGCCGTAAGGATCCACGGATTGAGGCTCCAGGGTTTCACGGTTCTGTGGTGCTTCGCGCCCAGGGCTGTGAAGGGACTTTGATAATTATAGGGCCCCAAAACAACACATAAGCAAAAAGAAGGGTAGGGATATCCCATATAAACCCCCTTAAAAGGAAGGCCAATAAGGTAGGGATATCCCCATCAAATGCTTATGCGAATGTGCTTTGGGGGTCTCCAAAATTAGCCTAGGGCTCCAAGGTCCCTTGTCGTGTACGTACATCGGGACGAGAGGGACATACTATTCGTAACGACTCAGATGGGAGTTTCCGAAAATAGGGGGCCCTGATATAGTACCCCAAATGGTAGGATCCTTAATATAAGGACCCCAACATGAGGTACCCCCTAGTTTTCGGAAACTCCCGAATCTCTATAAGGCCCAATCGCGAGCAGCTCGAGTGTTGCGTGCATCCAGCAACTTCTGAGGTTGTGCAGTATTCAGAGAGCCCAATACCCCTTAACTAAGAAATATGGCTTAAATCATAATATGAACCCCCCTTATAATTTAAGCTGTATTAATTAAGGGGTGTTGGGCTCTCTGAGTATTCACCGTCATCCTAATCTTGCGAATACGGACAGCGTGCAATTCAACCCCCAACCCACAGATGCTGTTGCCAGAAAGGAGTTTTGACCCAGCTAGAACCCTTAACCCTGAAACCCTAAACCCCAAAACCCGAAACCCAAAATTCTAAACCCCAAAACCCGAAACCCAAAATTCTAAACCCCAAAACCCGAAACCCAAAATTCTAAACCCTAAAACCCTTAACCCCCAAAATCCTCAAAACCCCCTCACCTCGGCCTGAAGCAGGGCCGCCTGCACACATGCGTAGAGGTGTTCAGCGGTTACTCAGAGAGCCCAATACGCCTTAATTAAGGAATATAGCTTAAATTATAAGGGGGTTCATATTATGATATAAGCCATATTCCTTAATTAAGGGGTATTGGGCTCTCTGGGTATACATCTGAAGGAGAAGGTGTAGGGCTTAGGGTTCAGGAGTCAGGACCAAGACCTAGGGCTTAGGGTATAGGGCATAGGGTTTCAGCTCAACGCCAGAAAACCTGCAACAAACTAAACCGTAAGAACTTCAGGTTGGAGGGCGGTAAACCGAAACCGTCGGAACAGGACAAGCATATGCCGTACCAGCACCAGTGTTTGCAACAGAAAAGTCAGCGGCAAGAGCACGGGTTGAGAAGCTAAGCAGAAGGTCTGGGTGCAGGACTCGCTGTGGCAGCAGCCACAACCAAAAAAAACACATGGTAGCATAGTACTAATCCGATGATCAAGCAGCTATACCAGCAGCAATGTTAATCATCAAATAGGAAACTCACAAAACTGGGTTGTGCTTTAAGCCCTTTGAAAATTATCTATGAATAGGTTCCCTTTATAAGGAAATAAGGGAATTAAAAGTTATCCCAAAGCACAACCCGGAAAAGAGACAAGCGTCTAAAGTAACGAAGCCCCAAACGTCTGACCTTGAACTATCTGTCAAGACGAACCTGCCCGAAGTCAAGTTCATGAAGACCTCGGCCGAATGAGGGCGCAACAGTTTCGAGGCATCTTCCGATTGGGTTTCGCTGGCTGGTTGCTTCGAAGCTAAGACGAAACCATGAACTTCCCGGGATTGGGTACGTGATTTCAGGTTGTGCGGCTGCCAAGTATTGGGGCTCGGAGTCCAGGCAGGGCAGGAACTTGAGTGATGGGGCAGGGCTTGGGGCGAGGGGTTTGGAATCGCGTCAACAGCAACGCGTACTCGCCTAATCAAATTCAGATTTGGGCTGACTGCTCACAGGTGCGTATGTCAAGCAATCAAACGAGCCAAGATGGGTAGTGAAGTGCACAAGGCGCTTTTGACCACAGCCTCCAATAATTGAACGACACGGTGTAGAGTGGCAAGCATGCATCGAATCAAGTGTGGCCAGACAATTATCACGGCTGCAGGCGAGATGACCTACACCGCGCGAAAGCTGGTCGACACCTGTTTCTGCATCACAGGTCCCCATGCCAAGCGATCAGGCAGACTCGGATGGGTAATACAGATGCAAGAGCATTTCACCCCGAGTCTACCCACGGTTGGTGCTCATTCGCAGCTCGCTCGCAACTCTGTACACGCCGGTCGAGAGGGACGGCAAACTGTGGCCAGGCGATTATCACGGATGAAGGATCAACGACCCACTCCGGGAGAAAACTGGTCGCGAGCTGTTTCTGCATCACAGGTCCCCACGCCAAGCGACGAAGCATCCTCGGATGGGTAATACAGATGCACGCACAACTTGCGTGCAGTGATAGGTATGGCGGGTTAATGACTAGCACTTCACTGGCAAGCATATGCAAGCATGCATCGAATCAAGTGTGACCAGACAATTATCACGGCTGCAGGCGAGATGACCTACACCGCGCGAAAGCTGGTCGACACCTGTATCTGCATCACAGGTCCCCATGCCAAGCGATCAGGCAAACTCGGATAGGTAATACAGATGCAAGAGCATTTCACCCCGAGTCTGCCCACGGTTGGTGCTCATTCGCAGCTCGCTCGCAACTCTGTACACGCCGGTCGAGAGGGACGGCAAACTGCGGCCAGGCGATTATCACGGATGAAGGATCAACGACCCACTCCGGGAGAAAACTGGTCGCGGGCTGTTTCTGCATCACAGGTCCCCATGCCAAGCGACGAAGCATCCTCGGATGGGTAATACAGATGCACGCACAACTGTGTGCAGTGAAAGGTATGGTGGGTAATGACTAGCACTTCACTGGCAAGCATATGCAAGCATGCATCGAATCAAGTGTTACCAGACAATTATCACGGCTGCAGGCGAGATGACCTACACCGCGCGAAAGCTGGTCGACACCTGTATCTGCATCACAGGTCCCCATGCCAAGCGATCAGGCAAACTCGGATGGGTAATACAGATGCAAGAGCATTTCACCTCGAGTCTGCCCACGATTTGTGCTCATTCGCAGCTCGCTCGCCACTCTGTACACGCCGGTCGAGAGGGACGGCAAACTGTGGCCAGGCGATTATCACGGATGAAGGGTCAACGACCCACTCCGGGAGAAAACTGGTCGCGAGCTGTTTCTGCATCACAGGTCCCCATGCCAAGCGACGAAGCATCCTCGGATGGGTAATACAGATGCACGCACAACTTGCGTGCAGTGATAGGTATGGCGGGTTAATGACTAGCACTTCACTGGCAAGCATATGCAAGCATGCATCGAATCAAGTGTGACCAGACAATTATCACGGCTGCAGGCGAGATGACCTACACCGCGCGAAAGCTGGTCGACACCTGTTTCTGCATCACAGGTCCCCATGCCAAGCGATCAGGCAAACTCGGATGGGTAATACAGATGCAAGAGCATTTCACCTCGAGTCTACCCACGGTTGGTGCTCATTCGCAGCTCGCTCGCAACTCTGTACACGCCGGTCGAGAGGGACGGCAAACTTTGGCCAGGCGATTATCACGGATGAAGGATCAACGACCCACTCCGGGAGAAAACTGGTCGCGAGCTGTTTCTGCATCACAGGTCCCCATGCCAAGCGACGAAGCATCCTCGGATGGGTAATACAGATGCACGCACAACTGTGTGCAGTGATAGGTATGG